TCTAAAATTGTCCGTTTATAAATTTTGAAATTATAAAGGAACTAAGGTTTCAACTCCCTCAGGCAAAGTTGACCTTAGATGAATTTGACTATTTATTTTAGGTATTTTTGTCATATAGCTCTTCAACTGTTTCGGTACTTATACATCCCTCGGATTTCAAATGTTTGGCATTGAGCGTTCCTGATGAAGGTAAATCCAGAAAAGCGCTTCGGACGCATGAAATAATTAAACGTGTTGTTTTCAATTTTGTACATGTATTACCCAATCTATATTTTTCTGTATGTATATTCTGATTGTTTTTGTATGTTTTCTTTTCTTTGGCGATAATGTTGCTCTACTCATTCCATTACAACATATTTTTATAATTGAATAAGAAAATTAATTAAATTAAAAAAAAAAAAATGAGTCTTACACAATATAAGTCAATTATAGTTATGTGGTGAGGTTGTAGTCCCAACCACCCGGTATAAATGTTTTTTAAATCTGTTTTTATTCAATCATATTTTCAAGGCATCTTAATGTCATTATTTTCAAATTACAACAAAAACAAAACTAAGGCTATGAATGACACCTTTTGATTTTGTCACATTTTCAACTTGGTTTCCCATTTCTTGATTGTACTCTCAATTGCAAAAATTCATTCATCCTGGGGTCCATCAACCGAAACATTTTGAATGGACTTAGAATGACAGTAACTAAATAAAAGTAAATCACAATGACTGCAGACGCTCTAATCTCCATGTTGTATTTACAAGAGTTAAAACGTTAAATACAGAAATGTCAACAACAACCACCACAAAAAAAAAAGGGAACACATATAGATTCATGCATGTGCTTTGTTACAGAATTTTGCCAAGTAATTGAATAACGCATTTGCACTTTGCCAATGTACTTTTCTTCTTTTTTTTTTAAAATTCCTTGATAATACGGCAGAAGAGGGTATAAGTGTAGTAAAATTAATGATTTTGTGAAGTGGATTCGTATGGGTTTGATAATGTCAATTAACATCTGTCTCAATAAGAAAAGAGAGTGAAGTAGAGGATAACAAATGTACTATACTTCAATAGAATAGAGAATAGTAACAGGGAATATGCCAAAGAGAAAAATTGACGCCACACTCTGAAACACACAACTAAATCAAAATAAAAAAAAACAAGACTAACATAGGCTAGAGGTTCCTGATTTAGGATAGGCGCAAACATGCGGCCAGGTTAAACATGTTTTGTTAGATATCAACCCCTATATCTCTGGCAAATATATAATAAAAAAGTCCGAGTCCGATATTTGAGTAGGTAACAGAAACGAAGCAAAATGACAATGATAAATAAAATTGAGAATGGAAATGGGGAATGTGTCAAAGAGACAACTACCCGACCATAGAGCAGACAACAGCCGAAGGCCACCAATGGGTCTTCAATGCAGCGAGAAACTCCCGCACCCGGAGGCGTCCTTCAGCTGGCCCCTAAACAAATATGTATACTAGTTCAGTGATAATGGACGTCATACTAAACTCCAAATTATACACAAGAAACTAAAATTGAAAATGATACAAGACTAACAAAAGGCTTGGGACAGGCGCAAAAATGCGGCGGGGTTAAACATGTTTTTTGAGATCTCAACCCTCCCCCTATACCTCGAGCCAATGTAGAAAAAACAAACGCACAACAGTACGCACAGTAAAACTCAGTTCAAGAGAAGTCCGAGTCCGATGTCAGAATAGGAAACAAAAGAAAATAAACAAAATAACAATAATACATAAATAACAACAGACTACTAGCAGTTACTGACATGCCAGCTCCAGACCCCAATTAAACTGATTGAAAGATTATGTCTTCATCATATGAATATCAGGCACAATCCCTCCTGTTAGGGGTTTAGTATTATACCATCATAAAATATATGAGAAGAACATAACCCGTGTCATGCCAACAACTGGTTTTAGAATAAATATGTTTAATTCCGATGCAAAGACCCTATAAGTGAATCAATATTAAAGCCAAAATATGCAATCTTTAATGACCTGACAACAGTATCGTAACTATATCCCTTCTTAATAAGTCTGTTCAAAGGTTTTGTTAGCTTTTGAGGTGAATACTGACATTTTTGTGTTTGTAAAGAATATTACCATAAAAGATTGGATGTGAAATACCCGAACGTATAAGATGTCTGCATGTTGAGTTATATTTACGAATGATGTCCTTATACCGATGATAAAATTTAGTAAATGTTTTGACTAGTTTATGATATCGAAAACCCTGATGTAATAATTTTTCAGTAATACATAAATTTCTCTCGCTAAAATCTAATACGTTGTTACATACACGAGCGAATCGTACAAGTTGAGATATATAAACACCATAAGATATGTGTATATTCTGAAAAATCCAGGTTTTTAAGTGATTGCTAGGTTTTGTAGAAATCAGTAAAACACATGGGAACAGATTGCCATTGACCGTCATAATCTAGATTTATACAGATACAAACGAGAACAAAAAATGTTGGGTTAAGTTAGGTTTTACAGCACTCCAATCACGTATCTTTACGGCAATTTCCTCGATGGTACTTGGCTGTGTACTCGTACTTTTTGTCAAAATAATTAATAACAGTGTAGAAAAGGGAACTTATCACAGGATTTATTGCCATAGATCGACCAAATAAATCGCATTGAAATTAAAGATATTCATGTAACACTCATTGCTACAATGTAGAATCTATAACAACATCCAATTTCTTTTTCATCTGTTCTACACATATACCGTTCCGCAGTAGGAAAAAGGTAGATGATCAACAAGGACCACAGTAGTGTACTTTGTTTGACAGCAAATTGTTTCTTACAAGGAAGGCATTGAACACAGAGAGTTTTGTATGGCAAGTCGTCGTCTTGAAAGTGTCTCGATCACCATTATGATTTGGGGGACCATTATGCAATATGTAAGTCATAGCTGACCAGGTAATTTTTCATGTGTTGCATCTGATCTCTCATTTTCCATGTCTTCAAAAAATGTTTGTTTAACCATGTGCAACATAAATCATGAATAGCTTACTATCCGGACAATTAAATTTTTCCCTAGTTATTTAACACAAGAATGGAATTTGGAATTTGAATTCCAAGAATAGTTTTAGTCGAATGACTGACTTACAAGACAACCAATTTTAAAATGCCTTCATGAAAACAGAAATTGAAGCTTAGTATGTATAGTATTCCAGAAATATTTTCAAAAATCAAAGAAAAATCTGTTGGCATAGATAAAAAGACAGACATACGAAAGATAACTGGTGTGAAGCTAGCCGGCGTTAATATTCATGAGGCTAGCATTCAATAATATTCATGAGATGTGACCTCGTTAGATGAGGTGGTGTTGGTAATTAATAGATTATGACAATAAAATTACTTCTTGCTGTAAATATTCAATTGGTTCTTCTATTTATAGCAAAGTGAAATCTTAAATCAGTAGGTGTCTTTTGCAAGGTTCGCGTCTTTTAACACCATTTAAAATGAAAGCTTAAATAAAAGGTTAATGCCTCCTTACACATAGAACCAAGAAACGATTCGTTAAAATTTTGTGATTAGTGGAATTTTGTTAATTGAAACAATAATGAATAACAGGATTTTTAGATATAGAAATTAAGCAATTACTGTAAAAAAAGAAATTGAACAAAAGCGATGAAATATTGACATCCTTCTTGAAAATGGGAATTAAAGGGAATTGATTGTCATTTGGGCATTCCATAATAATCTGTCCGTTGAATAAAGTCCCATTTCAAAATGAAAAACTGGTACGGGTCGAGGTAATAAGTGATAATGGTAATTTTAAAGCCAATGCCTACCTCTGAGTGTCAATGGTCTGATTATATTAAGACTCTGATTGGTCTCCGTAGTTTTGAATACTGTTAGGTCATTGCTATAGTAACTATTATAGTATTTTTGTGTCTGTTTTTCTAAAATGGTTACACTTCTTTTTTATCAGCTATATTTAAAATTGAAGATAAACGAACGTATTAAGGGCATGTTGTACTTTTGGTATGTAACTATATTCGTCAACGAACAGATTACGGAATGACCATATGGCAATTAATTCCTTTCAATTCCTTTCAGTTAACATGTTATGAATAATTGTTAAATATTTAAATACTTCAAGGAATAATAGATATTTATAAGAACTGTTCTGTATAGCTATAGATTGTCCGGGGGAATGTCCGGTTTTCAAGAAGCATGCATACTTTCATCATTTTCGTTCAATTTCTTTATTTATGGTAATCGAAACATTTTTATATTTAATCATCTTTTACATTTAATGTTGTTTCAGTTTACATTATTCACAAATCACAAAACTTTAAATGAATCGATTATTGGTTCTATATTGAGGGGAGCACTAATCTTTTCTATTTACTTTCATTTTGAATTAAGTAAGCGCGGACCTGGGAGAAGACACCTTCTTTGACTTTAGATTTTGTTGTTATTTATATGAAATATATTCAGAACACGTTATTCTATTATAATGATCGATAGTTTCTTACTTAACTTCATCAAAAGCAAGTCATCTCATGAATATAATTTCAGGCTCATGAATATTATTGCAGGCTAGCCTCATGAGTATTAACATTGGTTGTTATCGTGTCCACATATATATTCAACCATTAAACTTTAAAAAATAAAAATTAAACTCCATATAAGCAAAACAATTCTTATACGTAATTAGTTGAAAATTTGTGTGATTCAAGTAATGTGTTATATATTAATATATATATATGTCTAAATTGAAAACAACGTTCAAACCTATGATTGCGTTGGATAAAAACCGCAATTTTTATACGTGTGCATGTAAAACAAATTTCTTGGTAGAGGGGTCTAAATACAGCACAAATAACATTTTCCAAAAGACCAAAAAAGTGAAAAGTATATTTCAACAAATCGCATTTGACTAACAGGTCGAACAACTGATGTTCTTAAACCCTGCTGACTGCCATTGACGATTGCAAAATAAATTGATCACGAGATGTAACATGGATATTAATTGTAAATTTAATACCAAACAGAAAACAATAAACTTGCGGAGAAGATGGTATACCGCAAACATGAGGTGCAAAAATTTATACACCATATCCGGATTTCGACAAATAATGTCTCTTCAGTGATGTTAGAAATCGAAACATAATTATCGGGTAACGTTCATCGAGTTATGCATAAGCTACAGGTAGTAAACACCTATTTCAGTATGTAAGTTTGCAAATATTCACATTTCATCGTATACAAGCATTCCTAGAAACGACGTTTGGGGATAGTTTGGTTGGCTGTAAAAATGATTTGTACTACCATGTTTTGCGGTTCTGATAAAAGCATGCTCATCTTTTTCCATCCTACATAATACCGTCATCGACGCAGAATGATATCCTCCATTGCTGTCGGTATTTCCTGTTCCCGATATAATTTTATCTTCAACTACAAGTTCAGTTACAACATAATTGCCACTACCAATAGATACAGTCCAGGAAAACATGTAGACGCTTTTCCTAGGTGCAACAAAGATCCCATCAAATTGATCATAATGGCCGCCGATGTTTAGGATCACGGTTTCAAACACAACTGTCGATAACATATTTAATGTGAATGATCTTGCAGACATTTTTGCGTAAAACATCACAGGGTGATCGGGTTTATCTACAAATAAAAATGAATGTCAGTATGATCTTTAAACTTACCACAGAGCTTCAATTGTCCTTCGTTATATTCAATAAAAAATATAGAGAATTTGAGTTATATGTACATATGTAGCTGTGCAGTTGGATATATCTTCATCTGAAATGTTCGAGGATAAAAGTTGGTAGATATCTCGAGGTTTACCAAATATTTTTAAATTTGAAAATTTAAACACCAGGAATGGACCAATATTGTCGTAAACGTCGTTTTAAGTCGCAGTATCTGTTTCTCTAATGATTGACAGAAAATGCTCCGTGTATGTTTATGTGTAAATTTCAAATCGATGTCTTATATATCAATATTTATCAAACTGGCTTAACCAATCAAAATGGATTCAAAATTAAAGGAATATAGAATAACTACACTGTATATAGTCTTTAACTTTAAACTTTATTTGTACAAAACTATGAAAGAGATTATGATAGAATGCGAGTCTGTGCCTAATATTTCTATCCTGCTTAGAGCCGAGTACAACTATAATTTCTGTCATGAGACAACGTATGGTTTTTTCTAGTTTTACCGTAGCTCTGAAAGTTTTTCAAGAAAACATTTTGGGTAATATCTACAGTTTTGAATTTTATTCTGACAACATCAAACAGTCCGCTATACTACATTCTTTCAAGCAAAATCTTAAATAAAACTCTACAGATTGAACATTGAATTATTTGCAAATAAAGAAAGTAATAGAAACAACGCAATTGCATTTTAATTAGCGATGGTTTTGTTCTACTAATTCAGTTACACAATTTTAATAATTCTAAAATTCAAAATCGAAAAAAGGTATCAAACATTGTCAAATATGTTAAAACCATTCTCGTCCAATGAACATATTTCTCATAGTACATGGCGTATCATGTACTATGAAATTCTATACACGAATGGCCTTTCATTGTTAAATAATTATGAACTCTTAAAAACTTCACTAACGAAGTGTATCATCCCCGGAGGGAATTTCTACAGTAAAAGAACGAAAGAAAAAATCATGAGTACTGTTTTTGTCTTATTATTAAAAGTAAAAACAGGAGAATAGAACTATAAAAAGATTTAAATTTGCATTGAGATTTCAACCTTGCAAACGTTATATAATGGTACATATCATACAGAAAAAAAAAGAATCTAAAAATCGGCCATAGGTGTAGGTGAAATGATATCTAATCAATTTTTTATACGAGACCTTAAAATGATCAATAATAAGAGTAAGCATTTTATGTTGAAACGATTGTTATTTTTTTTTTGTCATTATTAAAACATGTAAAAATTATACAATTATAGGAAAGCTGATTTATAGAACATTGTGTGCTTTTATTAAAATGAAGGAATGTTAGAAAAATAAGTATTAAATTGAACCTGAAGCAGAAGAAATCTCCATTTTTGAATATTTTATCCTTTTTTGTTATCATGGTTATCACAAAACTATCTCATTGCTATGTCATTCCATCTGTTGAAATGACCATTAACATAGGATTTTCATTCCTTTTACTCGCTATGCTAACACTTAAAATGAGGTCATTCTAATGTTTGATTATTACAAATGCTAATTTGTTTTATGTCACGCAAAGGAGTGAATATGTTCTAAATTAGTCATACAATACGCATATTATAGTTCTGTGGTGAGTTTGTAGTCTTCGACCTCTCCCCATTTTCAAAATTACCTATAAAGAAGTTTTTAGATCTGTTTTTTAATAAAAAAAAGTCAAGGCATTTTAGCTTCATTTTTATCAAATAAAAAAACCCTAAGGTTATAAATATTACCTTTTGATTTTGTCACATTTTCAACTAAATTTTCCAATTTCTTTATTGTACCCTCATGTGCAAAAATTCGTTCATCCTGGGTTTCATCATCCGAAACATTTTGCTGTTGAATAGATTTAGAATGACAGTCACTAAGTAAGTAAAGTATAGTAAAACAAATGTACTGTACTTCAATATATATTCTGAAAATCAAGGTTTTTACATGCTAGCTAGGTTTTGATAAAATCTGTAAAAAGACACGAAAACAGTTTGCCGTTGTCCGAAATAATCTAGATTTATACAGATACAAACGAAACAAAGTTTAGATTTAAGCAAGATTTTACAGCACTCACAGGATTTATTACCATAGATCTACAAAACAAATTTCATTAACATTAAGATCTACATTCAACGCTCATTGCTACAATGTAGGATTTATAACTGATTTTTATTTCTGTTTTTAACATACTGTTCCGCAGTAGGAAACCAGGTAGATCATCAACAAGGACTACTAAAATTTACATTTTTTTCAATATCTAAGTCATGGCTGACTAGGTAATTTTTCATGTGTTTTCCTTCTTCACGAAATTTTGTGTAACCATGTGTAGCATAAATTGCGAACAGCTTACCATACAGAAAAATAAGTTCTTTCTTAGTTATTTAATGGGTTTGTGTTACTTATCCTTACGTTTTAAAAGTTTTCTTTCTTTTTATTTCATGATTTCTTTTATGTTTTTGTACAATTTATTACTACAAGTTGAATAACTTCTTCTATTTTGAACTTTTACTTTCAATCATGAATAAGGGATATATAATTCGCATATACGGATGGTTTTTAACTTTTCATGTCTCCGTGTTGTACAACAAACATATACTATGCTGATATGGTCTGATACTTTGTGGTTATTTTTGCCTTTTAAACAAAGTTGTACACGAGTAAAAGGTATCCTTTGGTTCCTTGTGGAAAATGAACTTAACATCTGTATTCATTCTGTTTCAAAAAAATAGAAAAATGCAAAAATATTCAACTTTGATAACAAGTTCTGTCAGGTATTTATTTGTCCGTTCTACATAAAATGCCTGTACCAAGTCAGGAATACGACAGTTGTTTTCAATTCGTTTGATGTGTTTGAGCTTTTGATTTGCAATTTGATAAGGAACTTTCCGTTTTGAATTTTTCTTAGAGTTCGATAGTTTTGTTATTTTACTTTTTTTGCGGTTACATGCATACATGTAGCAGTAATCGCTTACCTCGTCAATTCAACCTGTTTCGCTGATTTCATGCGATTCCCTCATATTTTGTTTGTTACCTTGATTTGTCTTTTCCTTATCAATTAGCGAGATTTGAACAGCGGTAAACTTCTGTCGCCTTTAATTTCATACTATTTTTCATGTAACTAAATGTTTTCTGTTACTATCAAGACATATAAAAACAAAACTATCTTAGACATCTGTATTGATTGAAAATAATACATTTGTATTAACCTGCATGAGCAACACAACAGGAGCCATTAGTTGAGCAGAAATAGCTTATCCTACTGTAGCAAAATAGTTTACCCTCGGTTTTTGTGGTGTTCGTGTTGCTGAATTCTGTGTTTTCTGTGTTTTATTTTTGTTGTTTGTCTTTTCATCTAAGCGACTTGTGTTTTTTTATTTGCTCTCTTGGTTTCCTTCATCTTTTTTTATAACTTGGAACCTATACTGAAAGTGCGAGTGTATTTCAAGAGACATTATTTGTCGCATCTGGTACAGTAAAATTGGTAACCCCAATGCTATGACAGTGATGTGAAAACATATAAATCATGTTATCGCACTTTTTGGAATGTGACGTAATCAAATGTTTTTTTAAGTTTGATATATACGCTATCTGAAATGTCTGGCCATGAAAACATCATGTCAAGCCTTTAAAATTGTTTTCCATGCAGTATATTCAAGAGTATGAAGCCATTTTGAATGTAGTTTTACATTAAATAGATTCTTATGTATGTTTTAATTGTTGAAACGACAACCCTATCTTCTCTTCCTCGATTTTGATATTATAAAAAGAAACGTATCATTGAATTGATACTTACTGGTGCCATTAGTAGAGCAGAATCTTCTCATCCTTCCAAAGCACCAGAGATCAACCCTGGTTTTTTTGGGGTTTCTTTTGCTTAGCTATGGCGTTGTAATGTTACCCTTCGATTTAGAAGTGTGTTAGTAAAAGTCTATATCAACTACCAAACTGAAAATTAAAAAAGTATCATTCAAAAACTAAGCTATGAAACATTAAACATTGAATTTTGTAAAATTGTTTGGCTTACTCTCAGCATCAAGGCCTGGGATCAAGCGTTCCATCTCATATTAGACTCCGCTGTAAGTTTATACATCACAGCAATTTTGAGCAACACGGTCCACGCCTATAAACCTGAGATGAACTCAGATTTTCCGGCAGGATAAGCCGATCTTACTCCACTCAGCGACAACTATTATTATTATCGTTGCGTGGATTCTTAAAATTTCATTTCTATATGAGAGAAAACTGTGGTTTAGCCTTATAAATGAATTTCAATTTGTATCGTCAGCCATAAATCTTATTAACATACATACATTTTGAAATATGATACATAGCGGTTACATAGACGCACAGGGTTTGCGCCTTTTTATTGTTGACAGTAAAAAGTTGTAGTTTTTGGATTTCCTGTCTTTAATTGTTTTGGGTTCTTTTTCTTTAGTTTAATTGTATTTGAGTTATTATTGATATTTATGCATTGAAAACGATTTTTCCGTATTTGCCCGTTATTGGCTATTTCACTTTTTTAAAAGAAATGAATATATTCAATGTGGTTTTTTTTTTTTTTAAATTTCTAGGGTTTCACTACCTGTTTTCTTCTTATGAATGGTTGTTCCTTGTACATCATTTAGGTGGTTATTTGAATTCACTGATAGAAAGGTCAAATTAGTGAAAGATTTATAATTCTAAAAAGACGTCAGAATTAAAAAGGCAACAGTAGTATACCGCTGTTCGAAATTCATAAATCGATTGAGAAACTTTACAAATTTGGATAAAAGACACAATTTATAAGCGTTGGATCGTACTCTTGATATCGTGAGCCCGGATATCATTTCACGATTCAAAGGTTAATTATTACTTAACATTCAGTGATTATATGGTTTCCGAACCATAATTAGATATAAGAAGATGGTGTATGAGTGCCAATGAGACAACTCTCCATCCAAGTCAAAATTTATCAAAGTAAACCATTATAGGTCAAAGTACGGTCTTCAACACGGAGCCTTGGCTCACACCGAACAGCAAGCTATAAAGAGCCCCCAAAATTACTAGTGTAAAACCATTCAAACGGGAAAACCAAGGTCTAATCTATATAAAAAAAACAAAAACGCGAAACGAGAAACACTTATGAACCACATCAACAAACGATAACTACTGAACATCAGATTCCTAACTTAGGACTGGTGCAAACAATTGCAGCGGGTTTAAACGTTTTAATGGTACCAAACCTTCACCCTTTTTCTGAAACAATAGTGTAACAACACATCATAGAAAGAAACACTATAAAAAATCAACTGGAATTGCTTAACTCAATCAAAGGACATATTAACACCAGTGAACATACACTGAACAAATAAATTTGACGTATGATACAATGTAAATACAAAATAATTAAACTTAGGGAAGAATAATAAAAGTAACATGTTATACCGCTATGAAATGTTAAACAATTTAAGAAAAACTATATGCTCAAACAAAAATATCAGCCATTTGCATAACTATGTTTTCGTCTCTCTAAAGGTATTTTAGAAATAAAATATAGAATTATACAAACATTTATGTGCATATTGCGATATTAGCAAGACAGAAACCTACGTCTCGTGCATCGTTTCGTACACACAAAATGGAGACTAAAAACATGTCAATGACGGTTGATGTCTTAATGTTCTCTCTTGAATATACTGTTATTGTGTGATAAATTCGTAAACAAAGTACTTTACCAGATAATGATTACCGTCAAATGTTATTGAAAAATAAACAACTGTTAGTACTGTTTTTCTCAAAACCATCAACGCAGTCGTCTGTTAAGTTTTATTTCGGTCACACTTGCAGCCGAAATATCAAAATAAATTATTACTAGCGCAGTGTGTTATGTTTTTAGCAAAATCACACCGAATGAAGAAAAGAATGAAACATATAAAGTGTTAGGTAAACACACGTGTTTATTCAACTTGTTTTACATACTCTAAAATTAAAATGATGTTGAGTACATATGCTGTACGTATGTCTCCTTTTTACAATCATATAATATACGCTTACTTAAATGAACTATTATTTGATTGCTGTCAGTTCAAAATATAGGCTTTTAATCAGTGGATAACATAATAACAAAGTAGTGTAGTTAATCGTATTCTGAATCCTCATTGACATACATTTATAATATAGTTTTATAGAGTTCTGAGTTTGCAATTTCTGAAGGAACATCCGAGACTTTTATTCATAAACCTAACGCTTCAGGATTATATTAAAAGTATCATTTCATGTACGAAAATAGCACCTTATTGGTGTATTAGAATGAAAAAATCTTACAACAACGAAGAAATCGTAAAGTGCTTTACACGAAATCCTGTACCTCGCCAGCTACCGCTGCTGTCACTGTAAAAGTATATAATATTGACTTCGGAAAAAAAACAATCTAAATCCATTCATTATCAAAATAAAGAATAAAATAAAAAAAAAAAAAAAATAAAATGCACAAAATTAATCTTTAGATAAGGAAAAGCGTCTGTCCCTGTTTTGATAAGTGTCAAGAGATTTGACAAAGTTATCTAGTTGTATTATGGTACTGTACCTCAAATGTCTCTTCAGTTGTTACTTAAACATAACGAATATAGGTCATATCAAAATATGTTTTTTCTAGTATATTTTAACCCAAATAACTCAGTCGTTATATTTCAATGTTCTACGTTGGCTACGTTGACGCCTGAATACACTGACAATGTAAAATTGTCAATCAATCATTCAAAACTAGATCGGGATTTACCTATTCGATAAAATACAGCTGACTGCTGATTAGTCACATCTTCCACAGGGCACCAATCAAAATTCAGGATTCATGAAAAGTTTTAAATGTGTTAGGACTTTAGACCCTTGCAAGTAGG